AGCAGTGCGCGCTTTCACACATCAGCACCTGGGTTCAAGCCCTGGTCAAAGCAACATCCCAAAAAATATAGGAAAAGTTTTTTCTTAACAGCGGTCGTCCCTCGGCAGGCAATGGCAAACCTCCGAGTGTATTTCTGCCATGAAAAACAGCTTCTCATAAAAATACAATCGCCGTTCGGAGTCGGCGTAAAACTGTAGGTCCNACTAACATATGTGTAAGCGCCAATCTATTATTATTATTAAAGCAAATAAGCAAATAAACAACCGTGGTACAAATCTCAATAAAAATATTAAAAATAAAAGAAATTTAATTTAAAACAGAAAAGAAAATTTCAAAAAATATAAGGCTGAAAAAATTTTATGTAAAATAAGTTTTTTTTAGAAATTTATAAAAAAAAAATTATAAAATAAGTTTCTTAAAATCGAGTAATATTCAAATATACAAGTATATGTTTTTTCAAATCAATAATATCTAAAAATTAGAAGAAAATTTAGTTAAAAACAAAGTAGTAATAAAAAATACGATAATAATAATGAAATTAAAAAAAAGTATTTTTCTTTTTAAAGTGGTATAATCTTAAAAAAATCTTTAAATCAAAAACAGAAAAATTAAGAATTAAAAAGAAACAAGTAAAATCGTCTAAGTTCTGCGGTTCACGCTCATTTTCCTTAATTCCATAATAACACTGGATCACAAATTTTAATTAAATAAAGCGTATATACATCACTTTTCGATAGCCCTGATAGTTTATGAGAAATTAATGGCGTATGAGTTATAGCTCAAGCAGCCACCGACGGAGCGCCCTTCCGTACCTGCCGTGCGTATCTACATATGAAATTGCTGTTGATAGAGGAAGAAGCAACGGCAACCTCACCATCATGTGGTAGTGAGTTTTCGTTAACACGAGAATCCCATAAAATAGATCGTGCCAACCGTCGTGCCGTACGGTTTTACGTCGGTGGCTGATCGATCTATTACTCAGGTGATAAGAGTATGTTGCTCATACGGCACGTACAAACATACGTACGTTCGACGTACGAATTTTACATTTTGTATTTTAAAAAATGATTCCAGATTCGCAGTCGGCTACCACAAAAACCTTCGATTGCAAAGATTTAACCGAATATAATCGGTTTGGATCGCCACATTGGATCCCTGGTCTATTTATTTATAAACGGAAAATTGTATTACCAATATTGATACCTCTTCATTTAAACAAAAATTATTGGCTCGTTCGTAATGTTGCCAATATATTCAGCAATTCAGCTATGGAGTTTTGTAGATATTCTGGAATTCCGTATTTCGCAGTGCATCATTTTGTAGCTTACAAGATGATAATAAAATTTTCCGGTAACAAGAGTGCACAAAATGCAGAAAAGGGGTTTACAAATTGACAGAAAAATAATTTACCGGTTGCGAAATGCTTTTCCCCAGTGCATAATAGAGGTGTTAAGCCCACTCAGCTTACACCTTTATCTCTTTGGTCCGAAACAGGACGTTTCCTGGGCCTACCATTCCTTGATCTTGACGACAACGATTAATAAACTAACTGATTTATGAAATGTAGAAAAGCAGAAAATGAGCCAAGTCACAAGTAAAACAAATATGATTTCGACAATCACTAAATCACTCTTGCTTTAGTTCAGATTCGGCATCTTTAGATGAAAACCTAAAAAGAATCCAATCCAAAGTATCTGCAGTATATATATAAACGAGCATATATATTGAAAATAAATTTCCTATATTTCCTTTTCCTGCCCCTGTAATGAGTAACTTTGTAAAGCGTTTACATGTATGCATGTAAACGTGTTCATATGTATGCTTAGTATATCTACTTGCTTAGTAATAAAAATCGATTAGTTACGTATACGACCCGTACACCCCATCTAAAATAAAAAATACTTCAATACATTTTTTTTTTTTTAAGTATTCATATGAAGAGTAGAGTCGGCAATAAAAGTTTGAAAAACCTTTTGAAAATTAGGATATTTGCTATTTTTACATAAATAAATACAAATCCATCAAGTTTTAGCATTTAAAATTTCGGCAACTGTAAACATGTCAGTCTATATAAATACGCATATGTATCTACACTTTTTTCCAAATATAACTTGACTGGCAGCTATTTTATACGCCTTTTGGCAAAGCCCATACATATCTACATGTGTATGTATATTGTAGTTCTTGGCATGTTAATTTGGTTATTCTATTTTAGTAAATTCATGCCAACTCCACCAAGCCATAGACAGACTCAGACTACAAATATTGTGAAATAGGTTGGTCACTTTGTTTGAATTACTTAGTTTTATTTTTTTATTTCTTTTTGTTGTATTGTCCAAATCGCATTGCATCACTGTTGACCTTTTTATGCCACGCGATTAGTTTGATACATTAACAAGGCAAATATTTGCGATAAATTTGCGTAGGCAAAATATTTTGATGAACATAAATACATACATACATACTATGGAAGAGACAATGGTTCTTTTTTAAAAACAAAAAATTTTTACAAATAAATTTCTATGTAAAAACGTTTGTAATGGGTCTCATGCATGGGACAAAGGCAGCTTAAGCTCCGATCCAAGTTTCAGTGCAAAAAATGAGACTAAGCTTCTTGTATGCCTACCATAGACAGGTATTTATGCCACGAGAAGTAACTGCTCAGCTGTCTTGTAAGTTGTCTGCCGTACCTAGCAAGACCCTCTGAAGTTGAAGTCAACATGAGTTTGGCCCACGTGCAGCCCTTCGAAGCATCCCATCCATCGCTAAGCAAACTATTTATCTAGTTTCTGATGACGGTGCCACCGATGGCCGAAGGTAGGCCACCCCAATATCTCTAGAAATATTGATATTTGGTGTTCTAGATTTTTTTTTTTTTTTGAAGGAAATTTAATGGCCTACAAGTTTGTGATGCAATTTTTCTGTACCTCTTGTTATTTACGAGATAGGCGCAAAAACCGGGAGTTTCATGAAAATATTGAATTTAGTGACCCGTAATAATTCGCTGGTGGGAGTTTGAGTTATGCCGCAATGGACACTTTTGTAGAATCTTCAATTCTGAAGAAAAGCCAGCATTGACCATGATTATACCATAAAATGCCGCTGAGCGATAGAATTTTTAAGAAAAACAATAAAAGTTTACGTGTATTTTTTATGGGAAATCTTTGCACGCTTTGGGCTAATACTTAATGTTAATTATAAGGGTTAACATTTTCAGGAAGTTTTTTTAGCTGTTTTCCACAAAATTTTGAGGTAGGATTGAAAACAGACAATAGTCGCAAAAAAAAGCACCCTAATGTACATACTGGTACAAATATTCACATGTACACACCTACAAAACAGAGTTAAAAATTACATCCACTTTAATGCCGATTTAATTGAATTAATGAAAAAAAAAGTTACACAAGCTGTTGAGTTTATGGGATGCGCTGCAATTAAAAGTTAAGTTATTTTTTTTATTAAAATTTGTATGTGAGTATAAGCAAATAATCCAAAATAAAATTTTACCAATGCGCTACGTAATGCGTGAATGCACACCTGAGTAAACATGAGTTTAATGGGCATTTCAAAAAATTAAATTTTCATGCATATTTGGAAAAAAAAATTAGCCAAATCCATTGAGCTGAGTTTAATGGAGTTTTATCAATGACATAGACTATTTCAATTTCGCACTTATTTTTTCGTATGTGTGTGTGTGTGCTATTAAGCCATGGATTTAAAAGACACAATATATTGGAGCGTATGAGTTAGGATAGTTTACTTAACAGCGCTGATTTAAGGTTAGATAATCGTGCTTAGCTGAGTTAGTAACAATTCAAGATAGTTCAGGTAATGCAATTTTTTTTCTTTTACTTAGTATTTTACATTACGGCCAGTTATCGTCCAGTTGAGCTAAAGTGGAACGGTACGTTGGCATTTTTGCACCACCCTAATGTATACACATAGCGACGTGCATTTCTTTAGATATCTCTCAATTGCCGCTGCATTGTAAATTAATCACCAACGAATTGATTAATACTCATAAATTTTCATGCTTTAGCGCCTATTGGTAGGCAATGAATCTGTTCATATAAATTTGCATACAAAATAATCGCTTTTATATACATAGGACCTACATATTTGCAACCAAAAAAGTTGAGTGCACTTTTGGTGTAATGAATATTTTTTTTAAGCAAATTGCACCTATGTATGTATGTAGTTTGTATGGAAAGTGATGAATTTTTAATCAAACAAATATGTATATAAGTATTTTTATATTAGTTAAATGCTTTAGAAAGTATTCGATTCCTGTTCCCTTAGAAACTATGCACTAATAGCAAAATATTATTCACAAAAGTTATTAGTTTGTAAATTTGAATGCAAAATTTTTACAGCATAAATATTTACTGTATGTGTAGTTGCTTGTGTGTGTTTTATTTCAAACTGCTTGCATACACATATGCACACAGTAGTATTTGTATGTAGTTAATCGTGCGTTGGTTAAGCAAGTAAAAGATACAAAAGAAAAATGTAGTTCATAAATTTAGAAAAATACTGAGAAAATACTTATTACTTTTTCAGTTTTATTTTCTTACTTTTTGTGTTGGTTTTACGAAATGTTATATTTACATATTTTTTTTTAGTCACAATTTTGCAACCTGCATTCCCACTGCATATCTCCATAACTCTTTGCGCAAGAATCATGCAACAAACTCGCTTGTAAAACTCTATTAATGTAGCTCACAAACATACATATGTACATACTCGTAAGCTAACTTCATTTTAATTTGTACATTTTTTATCTATTTTGTTTTTTTTTTTAATAAAATCTTTAGTTTCGTAATTATCTTACATTTACATATAAACATATTATTATTATTATTATTATTTTAATGTTTTTTTTGTTTACTTGTCTATGCACTCACAAAATACTAAAAGTCGTACTAATTTCATAAAATCTATTTCACATTTCTTTCTTCTTCAATGGAATTTTCTCTTGAAAATATTTACTTTATTGTTAATGCTACAAACAAAACAAAACAACAAAAAAAAACAACCAATTTCTTGTACAACGCTTCACTGCCAGCAGGGTTCCGATTTGCCCATCTACATATGGTACGAAAGCTATCCGGAACACATCGAAGAGGGCTACAAGGGCCGTGTGTCACGCGTCTCACAGGACTCACCGTTCGGTTCGGCTTCACTCAATTTGACCAACATCAAGGAGTCGGATCAAGGCTGGTATGAGTGTAAAGTGGTATTTTTAAATCGTGATCCCAAGCAGCATAAGAACGGTACATGGTTCCATTTAGACGTACATGCACCGCCACGTTTTAGTGTTACACCAGAGGATATTATATATGTTAATTTAGGTGAGTACAAACAAAAAAATATTAAAAATCATATAATACGTACTCATTGGTCACTTACTTTAACTTGAAATAAAAAACTGAACAACTTGAAGGTCTGGAATATATTTTTTACAATAATTTTCAAGTTAACAAGACTTCGGAGATTTCACCTTTTCTAGTTGAAAGTAACATCGCCTAAGTGAAAATAACTATATTTATGTGAAACTTCTTTGGTATCGATTATTATTCATACATATGTGCATACATACACATATGTACCTATATTAAAATAGTTTGCAAATCGCACCGACTTGTAATCGTATGATTTGCAGAAAAGATATAACAGTTACGATAAAATATCAAGATTTACGTGAGCTATACGGATTGAAAATACCCGTAAAAATCTTATTATTTCGATACCGTGGAAAAACTTTTTAAACCTTATCATGCTGATCTTTTAAGCATAAAAGCTTGTCTATCAATCCGTGTGATTTTCCATGTTTCCCAAAACTGGCTATATTTATAAGAATTTGATTTATGGAAATATCTTCAAATAAGTCCTGCTAAAAAAAGCATATTCTTTTCGAAAATATTTTGGCGTAGGTCTTAAAATAAAATACATTTTATTTTGAATACTTTTATCGAGCTTTGTACCACGATTGTTTATTAGGAAAAATTGAAAAAGCAACAAAGTCTAAGCGGTAGAAGTTATAGCAGCTATTTCGGAGATCACCACATCACCTCATCAGACTTCTTTTTTTCTAGACTTCAGCAGGGATCGAACCTGCGTACTCGATGTTAAAAGTCAAAAGCGTTAACCACTCAGCTATGTTCATCCCATAAAACTTCTACCTCTTTTTTTATTAAATTTTTAGCTTTTGATTATTTTTAATAGAGAAATATATTTTTTAAATTCAATTTTTTTTATCTGATTTTATATTTTTCTGTTTTTAATACATTTTTTTTTTTGTATAGTTTTTTACTTAAATTTCTTTTAACTTTTATGTTTTACTGTTTTAAAAGAAAATTCTTTGTTTTTAATTTAATTTAATTTGGCAACTTTTTTTATATATTTTTTCTTTTTTAGTGCATTTTCCTTCTTTTTATATTAATACAATACAATTTCATACAATTTTAATTTTATTTTTTTTTAATTTAAATTTCTTTTAATGATTATGTTTTATTGTTCTAAAAAGAAAAGAGGAAAAAAATTTAAATTTTGATCTAATTTAATTTTTTTAATTTTGAATTAATTTTCTTTTAATTTGCAAGTTATATTGTTTAAAAAGGATAAAATTTGTTTTAATTAATATAAATTTTTCGGAATTTTTAAATTTTTTATGTTTTATAATTTTATTATTTTTTCTTGTTTTATTTTGTTTTCTTTTGAGTTCGATTCATTTTAAGAACCTATTTCTTTTTTTTTTGTTTCGTTTAACTTTTTAATTGAATTCTCTATTGATTTTCTTATTTTATTATTTTATTTTATTTAATTTTTAGAAACTTTTATTTATTTGTTAATATTTTTTTTTTATTTTTTAATTTAATTGTCTTTTAGTTTTTATAATTTTAAAAAGAAAAAAATATATGTATGTATATATAGTAATTAAATTTAATTTTTTAGAAAAATGATTGTTAAAAGACAAACAGAGTAACGCTAAGACCTCCACGATCTTTCCATTAGTCCTTCGAAGGACAGAAAATAGCTTTAAATATAGTTGCTAGAATTGCCAAATATCTTAGGAAAAACATTCCTTTTGAGATAATTTCCTGCCATTCAGACCAATTATATTTGTGATTTGTTTTGAAGTACAACAATCAAGAGTTTTTTTTGCGAAAAGAGAGATCGTTTTTTACTTCTTCGAGAATGTGTTACATACATAAATGTATGTACATAGTGCCATTTTTCCGTATTCAAATACCTTCACATAAAGTTTTTTTCGAAAGAAATAATAAAAATTTTACCAAATAGTTTTTTCATTGAATTTGGTTATACATAAATATTTATCAATCCTTAATTTACATTAATCCCCTCGAAAGCAGTGCAGCAACGTACATATTTCATGAAAAAAAAATAATAATTTTTCTGCAAATTTTATCACACACAGTCGGTAATGCAAAAATATTTCGCAATAAATAATATTGCATAAAATTCCAAAGTAAAGAAATGCTAGCAATTTCTTCTACTTGCAAAATAAAATGCCATAGCTTACCTGCAGAAAAGCAAACATTCCACAAAGTATACTCATAAATATTTTGCCAATGCAATCCTCCAAACGATATGATAGTTCCGACAGAAGCACATAAATTTCTTTGGTAAACCTACAAGGAGAAAAAAAATCGAAAATAAAAACTAAAAGTAAACCAGTTGCGGCAACTTATATAGAATCTCTACGATTTATCCATTTCGATTTGTCATTGTCAACTTCGAAGCGGCGAAGCCACAGACACACAAGAGCTGTGCCATACATACTATGTATGTACAACAAATCAAAACTAAAATAAGCAAAAGAGTAAAGTAATATAAAAAAGTTAAAAGAACTGAGTAAAAATGAAAAACAAAAACAGAAAGCACCTTTCACAGTGAAGAATAGAAATGCAAACAAATTGCGGCCATAATCTTCACATGTGTACCCAAGAGCTTATGATGAACGTTGTATAGGCTACGAGTGTGCGTGAGTGTGTGTGTGTGTGTGCGCACAATTTGCATACATCAACTTCATATGCAGTCAGATGATGTTATGCGCCCATAAATATACTTCAAAACTACAAAATTACACAATTCTTACGCAGCCGCTCCTCTGCTGCTGCGTGGGAGCAGTACAAACACTTACACACAAATACATGCTTTTACGCATATAGCCTTTTGCCACAAAAATGTTTCCAAGGAAAAAGGAATTTATACACAATTTTTTCTAGTCCAAAATAAAAGGTGTATCTGTGCTCTTCAGCAACATAGCATTCCCAATTCGTCAGCTTACATATCTACATATGCTCACTCAAACGAGGCACCCACAAATCAGCGCGCACACACACGTTCACACTCTCGAGAGTACCTGTGAACCCAAATTCATCACGCTGATGGGCGTTCGTCTCTTATGCCCGCCCTGAAATGTTGTAACCCACTGCTACAACCGGATATTGAGTACTTTTTTCTTTGGCAAATTTTTGAAAGTACCTACATTTTGTCTATCTGCTTTTCGTGTCAATGCAATTGGGCTCCTATTGGATGTTTGTCAGTTTATTTGGTTCACGCGCGTGTGCCGAAATGTGTGCTGTCATAAATAGAAAAATTGCATGCCGGTCTGTTTGAAAAACCCACAAATTTGTCACTTTCAGAGTACTTATCCATTTTGTTGATTTGCAGAATAAACACACACCCGAAAGGGATATATATTTACCTACATATGTATGTATAGAGGCAGGTAGTTATTAATCCTAAGTCTGCTAGTTTTTGTATGAAATATCGGTTTTTGCAACTTTTTCTTGTTGTTATTAGA